ATGATATGGAAAGTTGGGAACATATATAAAAAATGACAGAGACCCTAAATGTATTATGAGTGTACAATATCAAAAGTTAAAAAAAATATTGAAACTGGTTAAATGAGGAGTGAATCTTCCAGAAAAATAGATAGAAAGATCTGAAAGATAGAAGAAAGAATGATCTTACTTTAATCATAAGGTTTTAGTTAGCAAATTTATATTTAAAAAATATTTAAATTATTTTAACCATACAACAACTCATTTTTTATTAACAATTAAAAATGTAACACTGTCATGAAGTACATTTACATTCAGTCATTTAGCAGATGCTTTTGTTCAAACTCACAATTGAGGAGACATTCAACAATTCAACAAAAAGAGGAAATAAACACAGGAAATACTAATTATACAAAGGAACTGTTGGTGCTCAAAGAATTATGTGCTAGAGTATAGGGGTGTGTTTTTAAATCATTATGTTGAGATGTTTGAGCCTTGCATTTACAAGAAGAAATAAATCTCCATAGATGTGCAAACCTTTTGATCTATATAAAACCAAGTCAGAGTTACCTTTTTGTTTTCTAAAAACTCCCGAAATGTAAATAACTTATAAAAATTACCAACAAATTTTTTTAACAATTCATCGCAGAATAAGCATATGCGAATAACTCAATTTTGACAAAATGTCAGATACAGCCTTATAATTCCAATGTGATGAATCAATAAAACAGTCCAATTGTGAGCACAGCACCACGTGGGAAAATCCTAAGCAAGTAAGAGCTGGAATATATCCAGAACAGCTGTGATCATATTCTCCATGTAAAACACAGTATGGTGCAATAGAGGACCTCACCGGTTGTTATCTTTAAAATAAATATAATTCCCCAGAAACTAACTTAAAGCAAAGTACCCTGTCTAAACAAAACTTAGCCAATACCAGATAATTATTTCTGACAAGCTTTGCAGCTCAGAGACAATCAGTCTTACCTCAATTATTTGGGGTTTGGTTTGTCCTAGAACTCCATAAACCACATGGGGCACCTGATTAAGAAATAATTACATACTGATGAACAGAACTTTCACAACACTTTTTGGTTGAGTTTTCTATATATTAGGAATTGTACTGGAATTTATTTAAAAACATGACTACTTACAATATTTAATTCATCGTCACCAGCCCAGTGGATGTTCTAAAGGAAAAAAAAAAAAAATTATTATTTGTGTGATCCATATTTTGAAGCTTAAAATGTAATATACAGTTGAAGTCTTTAAAATTAAGATGAAAATGAAATGAAAATTATTAGCCCCCCCTTTGATTTTGTTTCTTTAAATATTTACCAAATTATGTTTAACAGAGCAAGTACATTTTCACAGTATGTCTGATAATATTTTTTCTTCTGGAGAAAGTCTTATTTCTTTTATTCTGGCAAGAATAAAAGCAGTTTTAAAAATTTTTTAAACAATTTTAAGGTCAAGATTATTAGCCCCTTTAAGCTATATTTTTTCGATAGTCAACAGAACAACCCATCATTATACAATAACTTGCAAAATTACCCTAACCTGCCTAGTTAACCTAATTAACCAAGTTGAGCCTTTAAATGTCACTTTAAGCTGTATAGAAGTGTCTTAAAAAACATCTAGTCAAATATTATTTACTGTCATCATGGCAAAGATAAAATAAATCAGTTATTAGAAATGAGTTATTAAAACTATTATGTTTAGAATTGTGTTTTAAAAAAATCTCTCCGTTAAGCAGAAAATGTCTTTATAAACATTTATAAACATTTTAAGCTAAAAAAAATGAGCATAACATTAGAAAAAAATCCTTACATTGGGAAAACAATATCCGCTGTGAAAGAAACTGGGTATTGTCATGCTTCTGTCCAGAACTTCATCGCCAAGGATGGTCCATTGCAGACTAAATAAACACATAAAATATGCATCAAGTAAGAACAACAGTTAAAACAGAACAACAACACTACAGTTCAGTGTTTCCCCAACATTCATTCTGCCATGGCAGGCCTCATGCACACCAGAAATCATCAACATGACAGCAGATTGTCAGTAACCGACCATCAAATGTTAAATCCTGACTGAGGACCACCTCAGTATGATGATCTATGATAGAGTCACTTTGTTTTTTATTTAGATAGCTAATATAAATGACTACTAACAGATTTCCAGTGTCTGTGATGACCCTTACCATAACAATTGGAATACAATCCTATAGAAATCACTGCAGTTTACTCTTGTTTGCAGACACACACCTTTTCTCTGGTTCTGTCAGCTGCTGTGTGGAGTCACCGTTCGGCTTGGCTCCTGTCAGATCTGAACTGTTTGCTTCAGAAGTGTTTGTATGTGAACTCGTGTCTGTGCTTCTCTGAGCTGGGTTTACAGAGTTGGACTCGTCTGATGTTTCTGCTGCTTGAATAGAAGAGCTGGGGTCGCCAACAATTCTCTTCAATTCCAAAACAAAAGGAAAATACAGTTGTCATTAAAGAACAAGGCAATCAAAAGGCTTTTTAAGCTAAAAAATCTTACACTTTTTTTCTACTAGAAACAATAATTCAAAGCATGGAGTTCTCTGTTTCGGGTAAAGGCGTCATTACATTATTACAATTATGATTTAGGTTTATATTGTGGAGATTTTAATTACACATTTGCTTAATTAAAACATCTGAGTAGTAATCTATTTAATATTTTTAACTGCCATGAATAGTTAAACAAAAACTAATAAAAAAAAAAAACTTGTGCTGATGATATTTTGTTAATTGAATGAATAAATATATACTATATTTATTGAAATTGTTCTCTTTTTTTTTAGACTACATTGTTAGTCTGGAAAACATTTGCAACAGGACTACAAAAGAATTAGATTTTCCCGTTGTTTTTATTGTATTTACAGTGTTTTGACAGCAGATGTCGCCAGTTTGTGATGTTTCGATCAGTTTGGACACTTTTGGCATAGCAAATAGTTGTTGTGATGATTCTGAAAGGTCAGTTTTGTTTTTTGTCCAGACATATTTCAATTGATTTGTTTTATAAAACAAAACAACAAGGAATTAAGTAATCAATATGAGGTGCAATAACCCTGATTGAGAGAATCAGCAAATAAAAATAATAGAGCCTTAAATTACAATATTTTTCTTTAAAAGTTGGAAGAGTTCAAAGTTCTTAATGGAATAAAAATAAATCCAGAGATTCAGAGATACCTGTATATATTGAATAATATAGAGCTAATTGCTCTAAGCACATATTTGGTGAAATCACACAGTTCTGAATAAAAGCCAGACTAAAATATGCAGATCTGGCACATAAAACCAGCTGTATTAGTAATAATAGGTGATTTTGAAACTAACTTATTTTAGTGTAAACTATGCAGTATTAGTGAGACCCTGAAATCCGTCATAAATTTGTATATTTCTTATTACTGAACATTAAAATATTTCAAATATATAATTTTGCAGTTAATGCTTTAAAAAAAAAAGAACAATCTGTAGAAATATATTGTTTCTTGTCTTATTCAAGTAATTGTTAGTGTAAAATTAAATAATTAAAATAAATTATTACAAAAAAAGTTGTGTTACTCACCCGAGCCCTTCTGCTTCTGGGATTTATTTTAACCTGTAAGGGTACAACCAGGAAAAAAAAGGAACATAAAAAAACATTAAATGAGTGGTGGACAGTTTCAATGGTGCCCGGTAATTATATGACACATTATTATTACTACTAGACTTCAGATTAATTATAAACCTACTTTGTAAATGACAGAAAAAAAAACTTTGCTGTGAGGCACAAGTCTTGGTTCACTTACTAGGGGGGTGGTTATCAGGCCCAATCTGAATTTAATACCTATACATGTAAAACTTCAAATGCTTGGCACATAAAATTAAATTCATCATACCTGTCTGCAAATACTATTTCACAATAATGATAATTTTTCAACATATTGTAAGAAAGAATAACATAAAAAATAAAGAATTCTCAGAATTTTTAAATAGGAAGTTAATGAAATAGAGCTTCTTTTTGCAGAAAATTACAATAGTTCAACTTACAAGCCGAAATGTATGACATGTGAAAACATACAATTTTGTGTTATCATTTATTTTAAACTGATCTATTGTATTTTAAATATCTCAAAAAATGACTTCTGTCATTTAGTAAAAACTTTCAAGTTAGTGACACATGAAACGACCTTTAAACACCTTCTTTGTTGTGCGTTAGCAGCAAGTTGGCACAGTGGATAGCACAATCGCCTCACAGCAAGAAGGTCGCTAGTTTGAGCTCCGGCTGGGTCAGTTGGCATTTTTGTGTGGAGTTTGCATGTTCTCCCCCGTGTTTGTGTAGGTTTCCTCTGCATGGTCTCTCCCCCCCCAAAACATGTGTTACAGGTGAACTGGGTAAGCTAAATTGCCCATAGTGTATGTGTGGTAATGAGTGTGTATAGATTTTTCCCTGTGATGGGTTGCAGCTGGAAGGGCATCCGCTGCGTAAAACATATGCTGGATAAGTTGTCAGTCCATTCCACTGTGGCGACCACAGGTTAATAAAGGCTGAAAAGAAGATGAATGAATGTTGTGCTTTGTTTGTTGTTTTGTTCTGTATTGCATACGGCAATAACAGCAATAAATATTTAAAACATATTCACGCACATTTCTTTCTGAATACCGGTTAGGAAATGAGAAGATAGTCGGCACAGCCCATGTGTGAAGTCTTGTTTTCTTCCCCTCTAAAATGAAACACTTCTCTTCAAAGTGGGCCGAGCAGATCTTACTGTTTGGATTGGGTTTCCAGTCTTTCCATCTTAAATTTTTAAGCCACTTTTTCAGCAAGCTGGGGTCTTTCAGAGGGAATCTGAAATAGAAATGACAACATGAATGTAAATTCACACCGCCACTGTAATACTTTTATTCTTGAGAAACAGTCAGTATTGAGCTTAACTTACAAGTGGAAAGAGACGCTTTTGTTCCTCAGAGTGTTTTTACAGTTATACGCACTACAAACTAACACCATCCTGTTCGTGTGCCCAACATTCACATTTATCCACAGCGTGTATGCTTGTTAATGTTAAGTGCGCTCTATTAACGAACAGAATTTGCTCTGACTGCTCATCAAAAAGCAAAACAGACTGAAACAGCCAATCGTGCTCAGCTCCGTCTGTTTCTGTGGTGTCGAGACAGCAGAACTGAAAACATAAACATCGCCACCTATCGGACACAATGACCCCTGTGCTCACATGTCCAATAATATCCAGCTGCAGGCCCGCAGAACCACACACGTTTTAGTCACACACAATCTAGGACACACGATTTAGGCAAACCATATATGGTAACTAACTCTTTAGCATTATCGCCACCTATTGAATTTAACAAGTATGGTTTGCCATTTCAGTCATTATTATTATTATTATTATTATATCGTTACGATCATTTTAACATCTCTGCAGTTTCTGAGCTCAAATTATGTAAATAAAAAAAAAAAATGGTTAAAGACACTTATGACTTTATTCATGTGTTTACATACACAAAGAAAACATTATAGACCGTCTAATTGTTGGATTAAGTGTAATAAACTAATTCAAGATCTTAATATTATCATACTTGGTTAAAATCACTTTGTTGTAAAATATAAAAAGCAAACAATAATATGTCACTTTAAAATAAATTAGCCTTCTAGTTAATCATTTAAACAATATATATATATAGTTATAAACTGATTATCTTAACTGATTATCTGATTATAATTATAAGTTTATATATGAACTACTATTTTTTACTAAACTTTCACAGCTGTTATATATATATATATATATACTATATATATATATATATATATATATATATATATATATATATTTCACAGCTGATATATATATATACTTTTTTATTAATAGTTAATTTGTTCCTATTGCTAAATTTTGGTAACTATTTATTACTATAAATTACTACAGTATTAAATGTGGGAAATCATTAATTAAAAGATTATAAGAAAGTTTAGCAAATAAACACTATAAAATCGCTTGAGTAAAATATGAATATAGTGTTATACAGTTACACTCTCAGAAAAAAAGGTACAATGAGGGTACAATTTTGTTCCTAGAGGGAACAAAATATAAAATTGTACCTTTAAAGGTCCCATATTGGTCCTTAGGGTACAATTTTGTACCCAAATGGGCTATAAAGGTACAAATGTCCAGATTTAGGTTTGAAAGGTACATTTTTGTACTTTTTATAGCACATTTGGATACAAAATTGTACCGTAAAGGACCAATTTGGCACCTTTACAGGTACAATTATATATTTTGTTTCCCTATAGGAACAAAATTGTACCATCAGCTCATGATAAGATCAAGACACTATAACACTAATTTAAATGTATTAATACTAAACATTAATACTAAAATACATAATTTAAAAATATAATAAATAAATAAATTGATTGAATTAAATATTTTAATAATAAATTTTTTTCATGTATTTAAATTACATTTTTTCTCAAAAATGTTAATAATTTAATTTATAATTGAATGTAATTTTAATCATTAAAAACGTAAATACTGGTCTTTGCTTACTGTTTAAGACCCTATAGTTTATGGGATGTAGAAAAAGAACCTTGCAGAGTGACAGCATCTTCATACAGGTGGTGATGTTGCTGTCTCTTTAAGATCTTCAATGATGCTTGTTGAGACGTTATAGTAGTGTTTGTGAGGCGGTCGGTAGAGTATGCTGGCTGTTTACACAGAACTTCGCACGCTTTTCAAAGAAAAGTGTATTTTGGAGTCCACACTTTTCAGGTAAGAATGTATTAAAGATATATTTTCAGTCTCATTTTCACATGTGAAGCCGTGTTCTGTTGATTTTGTCTGACTCTCGGGTCTCGGCTTTCCCCCGCTTTAAGTGCTCCGGGCTGGCCTGCAGGATGGAGTTTGCTAAGATGTCTGCTGCTTATTAAAGAAGTTAATACAATGTGATATCGAAGTCACCGAGGGACATAACGTTATAGACGGTGAGTACTATATGCTGTTAGTTTTCTCGGTGTAAAAGTTCCCTTTGTCGCGTATTCGCGCCTTATATCTTACGTTACTGCTTTATTAATAAGTGTTGCCACGGCGGAATATAATCGCAACCCAATTAACAAAATACACTCGGGCCAGCTGCGGCGGCAGAAGCGCGACGCTGCCGTAACCGTGCACCGGTGTTACACCAAATTCTGCGACCGTCGTATTCCGTGACTCTAGTAGGCGCTGTTCTCACTGTTTAACTTAAACTCGCTCCCACAGGCGGACTGGACACGCAAAAAGCGTACATACTCTCACGTGAACGCGCTCGGCGCCCGTACACATTATATGAGCGCGTCAATATATTTCATCGTTCTCTGTTTACTATTATTTTTCTTGCCTTTGATATATAGATGTTAAGTTTACATATATTTAACAGCCTATCAAAGAAAGCATTTTACTATAATATGACCAGTACAGCGATAGATTCTATCTATCTATCTATCTATCTATCTATCTATCTATCTATCTATCTATCTATCTATCTATCTATCTATCTATCTATCTATCTATCTATCTATCTGTCTGTCTGTCTGTCTGTCTGTCTGTCTGTCTGTCTGTCTGTCTGTCTGTCTGTCTGTCTGTCTCTCTCTCTCTCTGTCTGTCTGTCTGTGTAGTTTGTCTAGTTTGCCTCGTTAATGCACCCTGGTTGCGTGTGCTGAATGAATTGTTCAATGCTAGTATAATCCCTCGTATATCACACAGAAAAAAAAAGAATGTTCTCCAAATGCAAACAGCTTACATGATAATAAAAAACTACAATTTTGATAATACATACACAAATAATCTACTGAAAAAAACACTAATTTGAACATTAAACCGATAATGAAAAAAAATTATTATTATTATTATTATTAATAAAATATGAAAAAATACAACACGCATGGTTCAATCAAATGGTTTGTAATAATGTTTCTGGACAGTTTTGCTCTCTCTTTCTCTTTTCACTGCGTACTTGCATCTTTCAAAATGATATACAAGACTTTTTAATGCTCTTTTTAGTATTATTATCGTATCCATATTAAAGGACCATGTGTTAATTCATGCATAAGTATATAGATCTACACCATGGTTTTGTTTTGAAGTTTTTATTTGGTCAGCAAAAAACTAATTTTTTCTAGCATTAAAGATAATTCTACACCTAATTTTATTTAAAGTTTATGCAGATTATTTTTTTCCAAAATGCCAAATCACAGTCCTCCGTGCATACCAAAACAGTTAGGAAAACCATTATAACTACCTTAAAAATACATATATAAGTGTTACCTGACATAGCCAAAATAAAAATAAACAAAAAATGCAAGACTCTTCCCTGTCTTACTATCTTTTTCAAGTTAGGATTTTTTTAAAATCACACAACAGAAAATGTATGACACATATAAAAAAAGTGTTTTGTTTCATCACAATTTGTTTTAAAGAGGTCTTACACAGTTGTGACAAGACTTTGATTTACTGTGGAGAGTCTCTGCAGTTTGCAAATAATATCTCTGCAGTGGACAATGACAGGCAAAAAATTGCCATGAGACTGCTGAATGAATCTGGTACTTTGTTTTTCACTGCATAAAAATAATCAAGTTGTGTGAAAAAAAGGTATATTTTGGAGATATTTTGCCTTTTGATATTTTTTATTATAGAATTGTGCAAATTTAGAAAATTTTTATTCAATATTACATTTTAGAGATAAGTAATTGCCAAATTGTCAAGCTATTATTTCCATGGTAACTTTTTTCCCACATGACTAAGACCCAATTAACCCTTCATATAGTTGTATATAAATGTATATTTTGGTTCAATAGATGACCTTAGTGAGCTGTGCCACTATTGTGGGGAAAATAATATAGAAGTGGAAAAAGAAAGGGGAAACGTAAAGAAAACCATTACCTTGTTCCTGGGTAACCTTCTTTTAAAATAAGATGGCAATCTCAAAACACTTATTCCTTCGTTACAGATTCAGTGACACGTGTGACTGGAGGTATCACATGTGTTTGAGCCTGACCCCATGAAGCCCCTACAACTGGGCAGAATGTTAATCCTATACCCTGTCTTTATGTTAATAGTTTTCAAGTAATTGTTAAGTTAAATGTTATCTTAGATTTAACCTTTTTGAAAATATACACATAAAAAACATTTCATTTTAAATTAAAGTATGCACTTTACTTATTTTAATTTGTGTGCGTACATTCTATTAACCAGTATTTTACACACACATTCCACATTTACTTTAAGAATTTTCTTTTTAATTTAAAAGCCAATTAAGAAATTCTATAAACATATTTAGGGAAACATTTAAAAGGGATCAACAGTAATCTACATAACTGCTTACAGGGGGAAAAAGGCTAAAACGAACTAGACTAATTACACAGACAGACAGACAGACAGACAGACAGATAGATGTACGGGCGCCGAGCGCGTTCACGTGAGAGTATGTACGCTTTTTGCGTGTCCAGTCCGCCTGTGGAAGCGATTTTAAGTTAAACAGTGAGAACAGCGCCTACTAGAGTCACAGAATACGACGGTCGCAGAATTTGGTGTAACACCGGAATCGGGCCGTGACCCGTGAGTAATGTGCGGTGTGGCCCGGAGCTCGCGCGACTAAAGTCTTCATATACCTTGATATAAAACCGTTTGTTATTAATACTGGAAATTTGTAATTATCGATAATGTTTTATATTTTGAGGCCATTTTTCTAGCCACGGTTGACCGCTGAAATGTAATTTTAGACGGTTATATAAGTTACACCGCCGTTTTGTGAAGAAAAATAAACAATTTTGTCACCGACAAAGCGACTGATTATGTAAACGTGGCTAGTTACAAACGTGGCGTGTGTATGCTAACGTTACATATCTTCGTTTCAGTGTCTAAGTTACATTAATGTTGAGGAGTGTCCACAAACTCTCATGTCCAGAATTGTTGGTGCTTTACTATCGTTTAACGTTATACTTTTGTTAATGTAGAATTATTAACATACCATGTTGTATAAATCGACGTTTTAAGTTATACTTTGTTCTTTAAAGTAATAATTTGTCTCATCTGTTCTGAAACTTGTACCTTGAGCTATTTTACCTATTTTATTAATAT